TGACCCCTCTGTGGGAGCCCACTGTGCACTCACCCGCACCCCGCCCACACCCACCCAAGCCTGACCCCTCTGTGGGAGCCCACTGTGCACTCACCTGCACCCCGCCCGCGCCCCACCCAAGCCTGACCCCTCTGGCCCCCAGGGCAAGGGCCGGGCCGTGAGCCGCCTGCTGGAAAGCTTCGCTGTGGAGGACGACTTTGAGTTTGACGACAACAGCAGCTTCTCAGAAGAGGAGGAGGACGAGGAGGAAGAGGAGGAGGACAGCAGCCCCCTGAGCGCAGAGCAGAGTGCCGCCCTGGGTGAGCGGGGCCAGAAAAGGCGCCAGCCGCCTGGGGAGGGACAGTGGGTAGGCCATGCTGGCTGCTGACACCCTGTGCCCACAGCGCGCTCATGTGCCATCCACAAGGAGGACCTGCGGGACGGGCTGCCCGTGCTCATCCCCAAGGAAGACAGCCTGCTGTACGCGGGCAGCGTCAGGACCCTGCAGCCACCCGACATGTGAGGCCTGGGCACGGTGGGACAGGGCAGGGGCCTGGAGGGCAACCGAGACCCATGACGCCTCACACTCTCCAATGCCCCCAGCTATAGCATCGTCATCGAGGGTGAGCGGGGCAACCGGCAGAGGATCTACTCGCTGGAGCAGCTGCTGCAGGAAGCGGTGAGGACCGGGCTCGCCTGCCCTGGGGAGGTGCCTGGCTGACTCGCCCCAGGACAAAGGAAGGCCTTAGCCTGGGCCACAGCCACTCCCGGGCCCAGGGACCAGGCTCTCGGGCAACCCTGGGCCGGACCCCACCTGCTCACAGCCGCTGCCCGCGTTCCTGCAGGTTCTTGACGTGCGGCCACAATCCAGCCGGTACCTCCCGCCCGGCACGCGGGTCTGCGCCTACTGGAGCCAGAAGTCTCGATGTCTGTACCCGGGCAACGTGGTCCGGGGTAAGCTACACCCAAGGCGGGAGCTGGGGCAGGCCCCAACAGCCTGACTTCCGAGGCTGGCGAGGGCAGAACCAGCTCTCTGCTTAGACAGAGTACGACAATAAAATGAGCTCCCCAGGCGCCGTGAAAAAGCACAGGGTGTGTGGGGAGGGAGGGAGGGGGCTCTGGCCTCCAGCCAAGCAGAGAGGGCCCAGCAGGAAGGGACCCAAAGCACTGCTGCTGGGGGTCACAGAGTACATCAGGGGGGCACCAACTCCCCTGGGCAAAACCGGCTGACTACAGGCAGGGCATGTAGGTCCCTAGGGTGAAAGGCGCAAAGATCCCACAGGCAAGTGGCCAGGCAGGTGGGAGGTGCCGCCAGGAGGGACTCGGCTGGGAGGTGGGCACGTGGGCATCAGCACGTGTGGGGAGGTCAGGTTCCGGTCGGGGTGGGGTGACGGTGGCATCGCACGGGAGGCACTGCAGGAGTTGGAGAGGAGGCCCCGGCTCCTGGGCTGCAGGGCGGCTCCACCCTCCGTGTGGTCAAGGAGAAGAACCCTGGAGCCCTCCCCTCACCCTCCCGACCGGCCTCGGCAGCCCCGCCTCCTTGTTTCGGGCACCTGCTGGAGGTTCCAGCCACAAGCTCAGGTGTGCCGTCCACAGGGGCCTCCGGTGACGAAGATGAGGACCTGGACTCGGTAGTGGTGGAATTTGACGACGGGGACACCGGCCACATCGCTGTCTCCAATGTCAGGCTGCTGCCGCCTGACTTCAAGATCCAGTGTGAGCCCGGGACCTGCGTGGGGCAGGGCCCTGCCTGGGCTCCACTGTGTCCAGACAGGCTCCCAAGGAAGGGTTGGGGTGGCAGTACCCCACAGCCATGGCACTGAAGCCCTTGGCCCATGCTGTCCACAGGCACAGAGCCCTCTCCAGCCCTGCTAGTGGCTAGCAGCTGCCGGAGGACCAAGAAGGCGTCCAGCGAGGCCCCCCCGCCCAGTGAAGCCACCACCCCCAGCCTGTCCCCCAAAGCACAGGATGGCCCCGAAGCTTTGAAGACACCCGGGAAGAAATCCATTAGCAAAGACAAAACTGGTATTTTGCTGGACTTCCCAGAACCCAGATGGGGGAAGGTATCCTCTGGGGGCTGGGGGAACGGGGAGACCCATGGGGCAGGCAGGGTCCAGGGAGCGGCAGGTGGGGGCAGTTTTGTGGGCCCAGCTGGGGCTGACTCCGCTGGGCTTTTGCCCTCAGGTAAAGCCGAACTCCTAACCTCAGGTGCCAAATCCCCCACGGGGGCCTCCGACCACTTCCTGGGCCGCCGTGGCAGCCCCTTGCTGAGCTGGTCCGCAGTGGCGCAGACCAAGCGGAAGGCAGTGGCAGCGGCCAGCAAGGGGCCGGGGGTGCTGCAGAACCTCTTCCAGCTCAACGGCAGCAGCAAGAAGCTGCGGGCCCGCGAGGCCCTGTTCCCCGTGCACAGCATGACT